ATGCACACTACGTTTTTTCGCCTTTTTAAGATTCAAATCAGCATTAATCACTTTGTTTGCAGTTGACACTGAGCATTTTAATGCATATTAATCTGTCCTTTGATCTCGCAGATTTTCATTTTACCATTAAATGCTTTTACCTTTGCAATAGTTTTTTTTTTGGGGGGGGGAGGGAGGGACATGTGTTTCGAACAATTTTTCTCTTCGAAGCCAAACGTTTAAATTTCCCCCCCCCCTCGCTTTTTGACAATATTATGAATTGTTTCTTTAGATGCCGAAAAATCAAGGCTTTCGCAGCATTTTTTAATAATTAAATATGAAACCTTTTCTTCACAAAGAGCACAGCGTTTCGTCGATTACTTCTTTATAAGCGCCATTTTGCTTAAAAAAAAAATTGTCGAGTAGTAGACGGTAATTTACATCTTGGAAAATGCAGCAGTTTAAAATAATTTTGCAAGCACACGGTTTGTTTTTATAGCAAAGTAAAGTCTTCTAAAAAAATCTGCAAACAGCCTCTATAATATATACTAGAATGAAGATTAGTATATAGATTTAGAAATCGGGTCTTTGTCTTATTAGTCATTTCTAGCAGTAGCAATCCATTATATACTCTAATTATGTAACTCATTCTACATTTACAATTTGATAATCATTGAGATTCTTTTATCAGACTAAGACTGCAATTTCTTACCTATGTAAAATTACGTTGACTACTTAAATATTCTAAACATTTCAGTGACAAAATGTATTTATTATTTTAAGTACGCGCACCGTTATTTATTGTGCTTTGTTCGTAGAGTGAAACAGAATGAATAAGAATAAACATTTTAATATGCTATGCGAGTATAAATAGTTTCTGATCAGGGAACTCTTTTAAAACTTTCAAAAGGGATACCTTTTAATGCACTGAAAAGTTATTTAAATTAATGCAAAACATAAATATAGCTTTGGCTTCACAAATGCTTGACTTCAGAAATATGTAATGGAATTTTTGATACACATAAACTTTAAAACTAAGTATCAAAATGTAGTCTGAGATAGATATGTTATAAAAATAAGTTTGGGTTATATTTGAAATTATTACAACAAATTGAAAATGAAACTGTTTCTTTATTATTTGAAATAAATAAAATATTTTTATATGTCACAAAAAGGAAAACTATGGCAGTCTTTTTTATTACTACATAGTGCCATGTAGCCAGAGCGAAAAATTAAAAGCTAAGTTCTGACGAAACCATACTGTTTAAAAAAATGAAAATATAAAAATAAAATATAAATTCAGAGTTTTGCAATGCCTTTTTATGAACTACATGTGATTATATGTTTTAAAAAATTTATTTTAATAAAAATTTTAAGAAAGATATTTTTTTTTAAAAAAGAAGCATCAGTATATTTACAAACACTTTCAATATAAGCTCATTTCGTCCATTGCAGTGAGTTGGGGAGGCACGATTTTGATTAATTTCTTTTCCTAGTTAAATTTAATAGAACTCTAAATCCGAACTTCGAAGAGAAAAATAAGAGCTCGGAAATTCAAATAAATAAATATGATAAAAATTCAAACTATAAATATTTTAAGGTGAGCGACAAATAAAAGTTACAGAAAAATACACAATTGTTGGGCAAAATATAATTCATAAAAACATTTTTATTGAAATTTTAATGCGTTATTGAGAGGCTTCTTTTTAAATATACCTTAAAAAGTGTTTTAAAGATTGATAATTCTAAGTTTTAATTCGGCTTAAATTAAGTTCGGACATTTTTTTTTTTTTTTTTTTTTTTTTTTTTTTTTTTTAAGATACATTCATTGAGCTTCAAACAAAAACGTTCAAGAATAGATACTCACCAAAAAACTCTTGTACGGTCTAGAAAACGAAAGCCGATAAATATTTATGTTCCTCGCCTCGTACGCATCCGGCGAGGATCCCACCCGTCTATCCGCAAGTATCGGATCTTTAGCGGTAAATGAGAAGGATCAAATCAGCATCCTTCTCTCCTGGGCCTCCATGACGCTTGCGCAGGCGAAGTTTAGGAACATAGAGCAGTTAAGTGGAGTATCTATGCTATTCAAATCTATGCGCGTTTGTCTGTTTGTTGGTTGGGTTTGTGGCACTATCTCCTCCAGAACGGCGGGGAGTTGAGTTTCGGGAAATGGACCCCGAGGTATTAATTTAAAAATCTCTGAAAGCGGTAATTTTCATACTCATATTTCGGAGTGGCAGCAGTCTTACGCGCTGGAGATAAAAATCTGCTTTATTTTGAAAAATGTTGCCACTGCTCGCTTTCAAATCGTTGAGTTTGTTAATAAAATGTTTAAGTTTTAAAAAATATGAAATAAAATAGTACTGGCAAACAATAAAATATTATTATTATATGAGGTCATATTTGACGTTGAAGAAAGCAAGCGATTGCATGCGATGTCAATGTGTGCCGAATATTTTCATTAATTTCAGCATTTTAAACAAATAGCTGATGTTGGCAGCGTTTTTGTTTCAGGTTAGGATAACTGACAAAATATGTTATTGCGACGTTAATTCTTTTATTGATATTGAGAAAAAATTACATTAAATTTAAATTATGACGTCATACATAATAATCTGGTGTCAAAAGTGTTTGTTTCCAAATCAGGAAACAAAACATTTATTTTCGAATTGGATGTAGCTAGAAAAGAATGAACTGATTTCGTTTATAATGAAATGTCTTTACGCATTTTCTTTTCAGGCGTATATAGAACTTATAAATTTTGCTTTGCCGCAGCCCGCTAGGTATCATTAAATGCTGAATCCTGTTTGAGTTTCCAATACTCCGTTTCTGCATCAAATAAATAGATGCTCATTGTAAGCATTTTAGATTACTATATGTGCCAAAATTATTCAGGAATATTTAAGTATGCTGAATAATAAAACTGAAATGCTGTAATTTTTTAAGGATAGTGCTAATGTAATTTCATTCCTTTAATTGAACAGAAGCATTTAATGATATTTTCGGGTGCTAGCTGTAAACCTGCGTTAGGTTATTAAAAAAAACTTAATAATGCCACTTGTTAACTTTCCTTCATAATTTGCGTTCATAATTCTAACAGCACAACATTTTAAACTATAGCAAAATAAATTATATGAAAGCAATATATTTTCTAAGAATTTTTCATTATTTTTATTGGCATCAGGACAGTAGAAATTGTTAGACATTTTTGACAACAAAACGAGAAAAATCAGTTGCGTTTTCGCCGCGTTTCGAACCACGAATTTCCTAATTTGCTAAATGGACATGTTACCACTCACATGAAAGCATGCATAGGAGGATTCAAAACTCTTTATAGGCTAACTAACAGAATGTAAATTATTTGAATTGAATGGTAATCTATTATCGAAACGCACTGAAACATCACCAGGAATCGCACTTACCGAAATGCTTAGATTTACGTTTCCTTATCATGTATAGCTTACGAGTCTTAGGTTTATCACACTATAAAAACTAGTTGAGTCTCCCTTGAATGTTTTTAGATTTACTTATGTTTTCAGAAATAAAAGCTTTCTCTTCAGTTTGACTTCTTACCTGCTGATTTACGACTTCACTTGTTCTTGTTTCCCGAAAGAAACTCCCATCGAATAATTTTGGTCGCAAAGTTTTTTAACTGAAACTATATTTTGAAAATATAAATTATCGTCTACTACTTGACAATTTTGTTTTCATGCAAAATGGAGCATTTAAAGAAGCAATAGACGGAAGGCTATGTTTGTGTTCTTTCCGAAGAAAATTATTCGTATTTAGTTATTAAAACGTGTTGTTAAAAACGTGATGTTTTGGTATCTAAAGGCACAATAGAAAAGATTGTCAATAAAAAACGAAACAGCAAAGATTGGAGAAAAATCTGCAAAATATATATCCATGCAAAACGATATGTTTCGACTGTTGCTAAGGTATGAACTTTAATGTTAGGAGAAAATCTTTGAAGTAAAACGAGAGTTAAATAATCATTAAAATGCTCAGTGTCATTTGTAGACGAAGTGGTTCATGATTTGAATCTTAAAAAGGCGAAAACACTTAATAGTTAAGTGTAAAGTAAGTGTTTAAGGATAGTGTTTCTTCACGACATATCTCCGCAAGCCGAATGCGCTGCACAATTCTGTATGAAAAACAATTATTCGGACGAAAATAGAAAAACTTCTTCACAATAGATGAATCTTATATATATTTAAATGACCGCAATAAAATTATATCCATTTATTATCATAGGAAAAGAGAAAAAATGCTTAGAACATGGTTCAAAGAATCTAAAGAAAGTTTTTCAAAGGGATTTATGACTGCTGTTGGTTTTTTGATATAACAGGAAATAAAAATTAAGGAGATTGTTAAAATCAACTCCACATACCATCAGGAACACATTTCATGCCCAATTTCCAAATATGAAATACCCTCTGTGTACCCACAGTGCCGTACATCAGTAGAACTACATCAAGACAAAGCAAGCAGCCGTACGTTAAATTCCACTGTTACTTTCCTGAAAACAAATGTAAGATGAAACCTGTATCAAGGCCATTCTCTTCCCTCATATCCCTGCGAAATCTCCTGATGTATCATCCTCGGATTTTTGCTATTTTGGAAATTTAAAAAGTGCAAACCTTGCAATTAATACATGTATAATAATATATAGTTATGTCAAAGTACATGTACTGCATACATTATAATATACAGTTATATATGTGTGTGTATCCTAAATTTATTTTTATACGTTTCTTGAAAATTTTAGGCTAAGTGTTTTGTCAGCTAATTTTAGCTGTTGTTAACATTAGAAAACAAAATCAGTTTCTATGCTTTGAAATAGCAATCTGATTATATGAGTTTCCGCTTGCAGGTTACATTTGCGTAATTTAACGATCAATTATATTTTCCTTATCTAAATTATCAGATCAAAGCTGTATAAAGGAAAATGCTTTGAATTTAGTTCTTAAAATTAAACATCTCAACGTATTAGTCTAATGTATAATAAAATAGAAAAGTTTTAATTTATAAAACTTTTATTTCCATATCAGTCTGTAAACAATATTAAGATACAGGAAGATACATTTTTAGCATAAAAAACACAGTAATGAGAAAGACAAAATTTGTTTAAACAGAAAAATTTCCATACATTTGGCTTTTATTGTTTATTATATTTGATAAAAAATTACTCTGTCTTAAATGAGCATTTTGAATCATTTAATATCATTTCGCCCTTTACGAATCAGGCCACTGGATGAGCGCTCTTAAATTTAGTGCTTTCTATCTGAAAAATTAAATATTTGGCAGGAAAGGTCCTCTGAAATTAAGTAAATGTCATAATAAGTACATTTATCCAGACAAAGAAATCACGGAGGAATGGATTGCAATTGGATATTTTGAAGACTCTATTGCAGTTTACTTTTTTATAGTTGATCTGTACCTGAAAAGAAACAAAGAAATAATTATATTAGGGCTTATCTCATAACTCTGCACCAGAAACTTTTATATTGCTTTTGAGCCTTTTAATGCCTGAATTGCGTTAGTAATCAATTCTGCAAATATCTTGATGATTGAGTGATAGCTGTAAGATAATTAGTGACATTTATTCCGTAGTTTCAATGATGCATAACAAAAGGGACACTAGCAGATATACGTGATCGTAGATATACAAGAATACATGTATAAACAGACGTCGATTATTATTTATGGATATTAATATTATGCTTTATTTATGGATAAATTAACTCAAATATTATTCTTAAATTGTATATGTATGTGGTATATGTGCTTAAACATATGTAAAACACATTATGCGTATATACAGATGGAGGACCAAATTATACAAACACCTGTGAAATAATGGAAAACCTATATTAATAGGGGGTTGGACCACCCTTTGACTGAAGTTCAGACTGAATGCGATGTGGGATAGATGCATAAAGGTCATGGACAGTATTTAAAGGAACATTAAGCCATTCCACCTGCAGAACGGTCTCTAATTGCGAAAATCCGGATGGAGGTGGAAATCGGGAACGAAGTTTGGACTCCAAATGTGCCCATAAATGTTCAATAATATTCAAGTCCGGAAACTGAGAGGGACCACGCGAGACGTTCAATTGCATCGTCATGCTCTTCGAGCCATTCTTGAATACACCTAGCAGTGTGGATAGGGGCGTTGTAGTCTTGAAAAAGCAGTCGCTCCCCAGGGAATACAGTCTGGACAAAAGGATGGACATCATCTCTTGGAATGCTTAGACAGTGATTAAATGTGATCCTCCCATGCAGAATAACAAGTGGCCCAAGACTGCGCCAAGATATCGCACCCATACCATAATGGCGCAACCCCCAGGGTTCACAGTCGGCCAGAGGCAGTCAGGATGAAACGCTAAAGTCAGGATGAAACGCTCCAGACATAAACGCGTCCGGTCGTCTGAAACAGGGTGAATGGCGATTAATCGAACCATATTACCTGTTGCCACTGCTATGGAGAGCCAGCCTTTGTGATCATTGGCTTTGCTTGAAAACATTAGTTGCTGTCACCAAGGGTTTACGAACTGCCACTCTGCCATAAATGTTCGCAGCATGAAGTTCCCTTTTGACAGTTTTTGTTGAAACGGTGTCCTGGAGATGAATGTTCATTTCGGATGTTATCTCGGATAACGATTAATTGTGCTTTCGGGCTACGATGTGCTTCAAGACCCGTCTCTTCCTATCAGCCAGCTTTGACTTTCGGCCACTGTTGTGCTTTGAAGACAGTCGTCTTGCCCTCTTTCGCGTAGCTGCCATAATGGCTGGTACCACACTCCTTGCACACCCTACAAGGTTTGCTGTTTCCGTAATCGATGTTCCACTCCAACTATCATTCTTATTTGGAACTTTGACAGGTCTGACATTTCAACTTCACGCAGACAGTTCGTTTGAAGCATGCAATGCAGGTTACTGCTGTTGAGAGAGTGATACCTTCCTCTTCACGCTCACTAGGTGGCAGACTTCTGTTGAGGTGGCGCGGTTGTACTGCAGGTGTGAAATACGTCATACTTTTTCATAGGTGTTCGCATTATTTTGTCCTCCATCTGTATATATAATTGTAATTAAAGGGGAATACTTCTATTAAAATTGATAAAAAATATGAAAACAAACTTCTAATTTTAATTGGCTGTAACTTCTTTTAGTTTCATTTAATTCGGAGACTTTCTCTTCCCATCTAAAAATAGCGCCATAAGTCTAAACTGCGCTTTTCAAATTAATCATGCGATCTTACGTAACCCTTGATGCACATGTCTCTTGCCCAATCAAAATAATTGTAAACCAAAACTGTTTGACTCCCTTCCTTCATCCTCTGCATTACTACTGCGACACTGTCTCTCTTTTCGCTTGTGCTTTCATCCCGAGACGCTGCTGCAATCATCTATGTTCACTTCTATCTCAATAGTATCAAAATTGTTCTAGAAATAGGTACGATTGGAGTGCCAAGTGAATTATGGCCACAAATGTGAATTTAAATAACTATGGAATTTAATCTGTCTCGACAGCTTCTTCTTCAAAATGGATGGCAATCAGCATTTCTAAATCATCAATATTCCTGCATCTCAGTGCTTCCAAACAGGATTGGATAACGTACTACTAACCTCAATGGAACACTTATTCATTTGGATTTCTGTAAAATATACTGTTGGCCACCCAAATTTCAACACCAAGAGATAAGACAAGAGATATCACAACAAAATTTATTTAGTAGATAACATGTTGACAAAGTATCAAATGGTTAAATTTATAGACTTTTGTGAAGTGTGGTTCCTTCCAGAATAAGTAGACAGATTAGCCGCCATTGTTGGAGATCACTGCTGCCACACGCCTCGGCATTGATTCAAAGAGACTTTGGATGTGTTCTTGGGGTACAGCAGACCAAGCAGCTTCCACACATTGCCAAAGGTGATCTGGTGTAGCAGCTCTGGGTCAATCGTTCAGCAACCATGGACCACATGTTTTCTATCGGCGAAAGATCTGGAGAGCGAGCCGGCCAGAGAAGCAATTCATTCTGGCGATTGACGAAGAACCCAATGAGTTCCACTTGTGGTCGCGCATTATCCTGTTGAAACATGGCTGTGGGCAAGCCCTGAAGGTAAGGAAGGATAACTGGCTCCAACACTTCGGAGATGTAGCGCTGGCTGTTTAAATTAACGGCATTGCGTATTAGAGGATTGCGAGAGTGATATCCAACACCGCTCCGTACCATAATACCCGGTGCAGGACCAGTGTGGCGGTGCATAACGTAGCCGTTCAGCATCCTGTCCCCACGGTACAGGATGCTGAACGGTAGTGACTGATAGTGACTACCGTTCAACTGATAGTGACTATGTATAAGCTGAACTGATGCTGAACTGATAGTGACTATGTATAAGCGAGGCAACCTTCAACTAGTAACTGTGCCTTTTTAGCAGATGTACTGTGATGCATATTCCTGCTGAACTTGTTATTTTAAGTTACCTCGCAAAATTCTCAATAAGTCTTTTTCTTTTTGTCATTGATGTATACACTCTTGAATTAATGTGCCCCTGGCAAAAGATGACTATGTATCTATTCATCGTAACTCTGTAATTTTCTTATGATTATGCACTAAATGCCCGACTGACCTGCCAGTCTCTCCTGAGGCTGTGGGTCGTTAGTAGTAGATTTTACCACGGACTGAGCATTATTCTGATTGGATTACATAGGTCAGAAGCTCATCCCGTGGCGCCCCTTGTCCCCACGGTATCTTCAGACTCAAATCCGATAATCGTGGTGTTGCAGACAGGAGCGTGACTCGTCAGTAAAGACAATTTCATTCCATTCTACCGTCCACATCCTTCTTTCATCGCACCATTGGCAACGGAGACGTCTGTGGTTCTGCGTCAAGGGTAGACGAAGCAACGGACGTCTTGCGGACAGACCACTCTGCTCTAAACGGCGTCGAACGGTACGCGCAGATACTGGATGATGCGTTACAGACTGAATGTGCTGTGCTATGGTTCGTGATGAGACTGAGCGATTACTTCACTGCCATGCGCACAATGTTCCTGTCATCACGTGAAGTGATGGACTGAAGTTAATGCGATCGAACACGTCGGTCCGTCGTACCCTCCTGCATCCAACGGTCACATCTCTGCATTACAGTTGTTTGGTTTCGTCCACTACGACTACCGATTTCCCTGAAAGGTAATCCACACTCTCGGTAGGCCACTATCCTTCCTCTGTCGAACTCGAATACTTGATCAAATGATGATCGCTGTTTACTACGAGGCATAATTGATCGTTTTTGTGAAAAAACCACAAGAAAAACACTTGAAATCGTCAAAACCTTATACTTGTAAAAAAAATTTTTAATTTTTTAAAAATTAACAAAATAATAAATATTACATAAAAATTACGAATTTGTAAATTGGCATTATTTTAGACTTCAAATTGTAACTCTTCTTAGCTTTCTTAATTTAATTTGAAATATAAGAATTTTAATACGAGTATTCGACTTTAATTGCATTTAATTAAATCATTGCGGCCTAGGCGCAGGATTCTTAATAGGACACCGGGCGTCCCGAGCAGCTGCCACGATGCGTGCATCATTTTCCTCAATGCTCCTAACAGGGCTTTCGTACACCAAGTCTTCATACACCGTTTCGTTCATTCAAGTCTTGCCATTTGGCAAAATTTAACATATTTACCTTTAAAATCTAACCTATTATTGATTAACAAGCCAAGCTATTTAAAAGCAATACACACAATTCTTAACAATGCTATTTTAATGCATTCTTAACAATGCTATTTTAAAATTTTTAATCTGATTGATTTAAAATGCATTTAATTCATGATATATCTAATTGAAAACATTTAATATGTTTACATAATTACATGATATACTTCTTCATTTTTCAAATATATAGAAGATATATAACTTTCTGGTGTCAGTATCTTATAAAATGTTTTGCTATTTCCACTGCCCCATCTGTATTGATAATCTATGCATTCATAAACTTTTAGTCTTTTTGAGTGACTGCTAAAATCTGAGGGTTTTCAGAATATTTTTTTTAATGCGCGAGCAGAAAGATATTTTAGATAGAATTTCATAGCATATCAGATAGAAGATAGAGTTTCAGAAGAGCTTCTTGAGTTACCTTTCTAATGAATGTAAAGAAAATTGTTAGCACAGGTCAATGAATATAAATTTTTATAACTAAATATTAAAAATATATGAAAAAAGCCTGCAGCATTCTTCATGTTACGGAAGACAATATACTTATTTATTCTGAGGCTAGGAAGTGATTTAGTTTTAAAAATACAATTTATTTTCTTTTAACAATTTCCCAACAGTCTGTCATCAAAACACTATAAAATTCCTTTACATGTTTTAAAGAAAGATGATTCATTTATGTAAAGATTATTAAATGGCTAATTTTATTATTGAATTTTTAATACAAATTAACTGAAATTAGAAAACTGATTTTTTTGTAAAATAATTTAATTATGAATAATTCAATTTGGGTTGCTATTGGATGTTAAAAATGATCGAAAGATTTTTAATATCTTAAAAATAAAAGCAAAATTTTCAGTTTTAATATTTTGTGTTAATAATTCATTTTAATTTCCTGCTCAGTTTTAATATATTCACAAATTCAGATTTAAAAACAAAATAAGTTGTATAAATATTTTCAACATATCTGATTTTTCCATAGTAACCATAGGAGAAGGATTTGAGACTATCTGTGTAAAATAAGTAGGTTTCAGATCATCACAACACCTTCACATACTTTCACTGAAAGTTTCCTCTGTATATATACTTGGATGTGACACTAAGCAGTTGAGAGTATGTATTTAAGAGGTTTAAGGGATATTGTAACTAGTATTTCAAATCCTGATAACATCCCATACGCTGTCGGTGGGACCTAGATAGGATGTCCTAAGGATATACTGGGATGTGACATTAAGCACTTAGGAGGATGAGTTTAGGAGGAAACTGAGATATTACGGGAATATAGTAAGTAGGACTTTAAATTCTAATAACATCCCATACGCTGTCGATGGGACATAGATAGAATGTTTTTAGGATATAATGGGATGTGTTTAGGAGGTTAGTGGGATATCCCGGGATGTCCTGAGTATGTAGTAAGTAGGAGTTCATATCCTAATAACATCCCGCACGCTGTCGATGGGACTTAGTTAGGATGTCCTGAGGATATCCTGGGATGTGACATTATGCACTCGGGTGGAGGTGTTTAGGAGGTTCGCGGGATATTCCGGGATGTCCTGAGGATGTGCGCATATGCCGTGAGCAACATCCTCGAGATATCCCAAGGATGTTTTTGTGCTATGTGAGCATTGTCTTGACGACCACCCCTGTCGATCCCATGCTGAGTATACGTTTCGAACACCCTCATTGATGATCCTCTGTTTTGTTCTTATTTTTTGAATTCCGCCTGTCTAGTCCTGCCTGTCTGTCTGAATAATTCGTCTGGAAAACCATAAATCCGCAAATTTATATTCAGTGGTGACCTGAAAGTGGATCGGGTGGGGAAGAAGGTATTACTCGAGCACTTGGTTAAATATTTCTCCTTTTTGCTAACCCCCTTTTTTCTTAAGGCTTCTCCTAGTTCCTTATGTTCAACCAACTGTGTTATAAGTTAAAAATCAAACAGTTTCTAAAAGTTTACCTACTTTTAAGGGAACTTAATCCTTAACATTCTCTAAAACAAATTTTGGGAAATAAACCTGGGCTTAGAACTTGTTTTAAGTTGAAAGAGAAAGAAGTAAGAACTGGCAACTTCTAACATAAAATTGTGCAGCATAATTAAATTTGCTCATTACTTTGTGTAATTTCTATGATATTTTGTGATTTTCTTTATTCTTTTTCTAGTTTATGTTTTTAATTCAAAAAATATTTATAATTGTTTGTATTTCCTGTTTTTGTAAAAGTAAACCATGTAACTAAAATGTGATGTTTTGTACAAGCCCTATGTTAAAATTTTCATAGTTCATCCCCGTTTAATTTTTTAAATTTTCTATAGAGTGAATTCATAGTCATTTATTTAACACAAATCAGACATGTTTCACATGCCATACATTATTTTAGAAAAGACTATATCGCAAAAATTATTTCATATGCATAAAACAAAACAGAATATACACTTTTTATCGATGAAAGTAACAATGGATTTTCTATAAATACGAAACACATCTCTGCTTCATTCAAAACGTATAAATAAAATTTATTTATATATGCTGCAAAACCGAACTCATAAACATGCTAACAATTTTACTACTAGCGCATACTATTCGTTGCAAAATGAACATATTAAAATTTTAAAAACTCCAGCTTAAAATCAATATCAATGATGGTTTTAAAAAAATTAAATAAATATTTCCTTATAAATAATTCTTTTCTTTCAAACACATCATTATTTCAAAGTAGCCCTTTAAGTATCGTCTTCTAAATTTTAGCCCAGAGGTGCTGTTGTGTAGCTCAAATTTTGAATAATTTCAAATTAAAATTTGATTTTTATGAATCACTTAATTATATTAAATTCGAAATATAATTAAGTGATTCATTAAAAATCAAAATTTTAATTTGAAATTATTCAAAATTTGAGCTACACAACAGTTGTATTGAATTTAAATAAGTAAGTAATTTAATATATTAATTAATTATATAATATATTTCGAATTTAATATAATTATATTTCGAATTTAATATAATTATATTTCGAAATTATTCAAAATTTGAGCTACACAACAGTGCGTAAGCCCAAAAGAGCTATTAGTCTAGAAACGGCTATTGCGTGAAATCACTAAAATTTAAATAAATGTTTCATTATACATAATGTTTTTCCTCCAAATATATCATCTCTATATTAAAATAACCCTGTTCAATATCATCTTCCAAATTTTAGCCCAGAAGGGTTATTAGTCTCGAAATGGACTTTTGCGTAGAAACACTGAAAGTTTGCATCACTTTTCAGATTGTTGCCACCAGATATTTTTGCACTGTATGATATTTAAAGATATTGAACGATGAAGAATGTGCGTGAATGTATGTTTGTTTCTCCCATTGCGAAAACACAACGGTAACTACAACCGTCAAATTTTGAATAACGTATTACTCCACTCTAATATGAGCACCTGGAAGCCCAAATTTGGAATTTGCTTTATTGTCTATTTCATATTGTTACGAATTAACGTAATTTTTAATAGAATTATAGTTAAAAATTTTGTACTTTCCCGTGAAGTGCAGCGGGAGAGAAATTTTAAGAGTAAGCTGTGCCGGAATACGGAGGCACATGCATTTAACATTGGGTAAATGGATATATCGGTAATTTGTATTCAAATTTAATAAATGTAATTGCTACTATGTTAGCTCTAACCGTAATTCCACCTTCATATTGCTTTCCAATAATTTCGAGATGCTGAAAGTACTAGAAATATCTCGTTTTCGGTTGAAGACTATTTAAGACCAAAGAGAGAGCTTCTGCTTTCCATTTGTTTAGTTAGCTGCTGTTGTTATTGTTGCGAGTTCAGCGCAAGATCGAATTAGCTTTCTTTTTAGATGCGCTTGGCTATGCCTTGTGATTAACTTTCTTAATAGTCTGAAGTGTAACTACTGATTATACTGTGTGTATACTGTGAACACTTGTAAGAATTTTCCTGTGGAAAATTCCAGAATTCTGAAATATTTATTTTGATAAAACAAATTTTCTTAATCTATTATCGGACTTGTGGATTCAGTCAAATACAAACCGCTACATATGCAAGAATATTTTGCAAAAATTTAATGAATTTTTTATTAACAAACTATTTTGAAGCTAGCAATGGCGACAATGCACGGGGAAAAAAAATCTCCAGCGTGTGAGAGTGTTTATCGGAAATTCTAAAGATGTGTTGTTTTTAAATACTTTTTCAACCAAGGGACATTAGCCGAATTGTTCTCGAAACGTGTATGTGTCTGTAAATGAAGAAAAAAGGAAAACGCTCGTTTGGAGTTTTTAAATTTCATTTTCTTTGAACATAGTTTTGCTAATGCCAAAATACCGTTTTCTGTGGTAAAACACTTGCGCTCTCAAAAAAGTACCGCACATTAATGAAAGATTGCAGTGCAATTGGCGAGTGTTTCCTGTTGGCATTTGGAAGATCTAAATTTCGAATACCAGCTAGGCTTCAGTTTCCATTCCCTATTAAATGAAATTCCGTTTATATTAAAAACAAATTCTGAACGTTTTCAGATTTTATATTACGCCCAAGGGAGCTTTCTTTTAATTTTGTGTGTTACTTTTATTCATTAAATATCATGTTCTTTGCACAAAACGATAAAATTCAATTCAGCAACAATATCGCAAAATAATTTTAAAAGAGCATATCTTCAGAATTTCCGATATACAATCACGCACGCTGGTTATAAAAATGTTTTCCTTCCGTACAGTGTTGCATTTGCTGGCTTTGAAGTCGTTGAGTTTGTTAATAAAAAATTCGTTAAATTTTTCAAAATATGAAACAGATAATAAACAAAAATAAAAAAGTAATAAAAAATATTAAAGTTTCCAGATTTTACATTACGTTCAAAGGGAATTTTTTTTAACCTTTTGTGTGTTACTTTTATTTATTAAATGTTCTTTGCATTAAACCGTAAAATTCAATTCAACAGCAATATCGCCAAATAAAATGAGCATATCTCTGGAATTTCCAACACACACTCTCATGCTCTGGAGATAAAAATATTTTTTGTCCAGTACAGTTTCGCCATTGCTCGCTTTGAAATTGTTGAATTATTTAATCATAAATTCATTTATATCGTACAAAATATGAAATCGATAATAAAGCAAATTTCAAATTCCAAATTAGGGCTTTCGGATGCCCATATTCGGTGGAAGACTACGTTATTCAAAATATGATGGCTCTAGGTCCGTTGTTTTATAACAATGCAGAAACATACCTACATTTATGCAGTTTCTTCATTATTTAATTTCTTTAAATATAACACAGGGCGATAATATTTGGGGGCAACAATTTGAAAAGTGATTCAATGGGCATTTTAGATCTTCAACGGAAAATGCCAAAACGAAATTAATAGCCCTTCTGGGAAAACTTGCTCCTTCGAGTTAAAAATAGGTTGCAATCAACAAACGGTGCTAGTTCGAAGACTTGCTATTCGAAACATGTTAAATGAGGGAATTCTGTACATGCATGCCTGTTACAATTACAAAAGGTTTGCGAAACAGTGTTATAAATTATAAATTCTTGTCTAGTGAATATTCTTGTATTTTTCACACCAGCAAAATTTAGTCAAATTATTATTTATTGAAAATGTTATTCAGATCGAAATGCCAGCAGCTGAAAAAATTACTTACCCAATTTAGGAATGATAAATAGTTGGTATACTTTGCTCACCATGCCGTGAATATTGGAAGCAGAACATGTGTATTCACCGCTGTCTTGTCGGGTTGTATTTTTGAAAACGATCAGAGTCTCGTTTGGCCTTGCAACGGAGAAAATTCTGTTGAATGGCATTTCTGATACAACTAAATCATCCTAATAAAAAGACAAGGAAAAGAATATGAAATTAATGAATTACGAAAGAAACTCCACATATGTGCCTTAATGTACTATGAAGAGAAAGAATTAATTGAATATGAATGAGAGATATATTCCTTTAAATTTCCGTTTTAAATTTAGTGCTCATTCTTAAATTCCATTAAATTTCCATTTTAATTTTAGGGTTAATTCTTAGATAATTATCCATTAATACACTTGAGAGGATTATTAATTTCAAAATTCAAAATATGTCATGGCCGGATTGAAGGACCTTCACACATCAGAAAATATATTGCAAGAAGCGTAATGAAAAGAAACACAAATTTTGCCTCGACTTAACGTGTACAATTCGACATTATTCCCAATAGAATTTAAAAATTGTATCTGGAACAGCAAACGGATTTCTGTGGCCAGTGCATTAAGGAGTTAACCAAAAATCCTCCCCAAAATATATTTTCGTAAATCAACTAAACACGGTTAGGTACTTCAATTTCTAAGATTTTTCCCTACTTATTTGGCCAAGTATGATAATGTATAAGATATTTAGCCATATCCGACGCGTATTCAAGAGGTTTAGATTTCACCACTGGACATTTTTCACGTCTTCTGCTTTAAAAAAAAAAAAAAAAAAAAAAAAAAAAAACTAATGACTCATTAAGTGGCACCAAAACTAAAAGATTGTGAATGATAATTCGTAACCACCAAAATTTGGCGACTGGGTTCCCTAATTCCTAGTTACCTTTTAAAAGGGTGAGTATATGACGAATTTTCTCCCTCCTTGCCGAATGCCTTGGCGGCGTAATTGGAAGCATACTCGACGCGTATTCGAAAGGTCCAGAGTTCGAATCCCAACATATTATGGCTAATATGCCGTTCACATTGATGTAAAAGTCTTAAATACAGAAAATAAAAAGTTTTGGATTTGTTTTAACTTAGAGCTTTTCATTAAAAACTATTATGGGTTTCAAGTAAAAAAAAACCCTGTCGGTTGTCCATTTAAAACTCTTATGGGCTTCGTAAAGTACCATTTCCGATTCTCCAGCTTTCCCCAAAATCTAATCATCTCTTTATATGAATGCAGAGAGTTTCTATCGAATTTTTGGATAGGAAACATTTTCTTCCTTACTCATGGATGCAGTTTAGTGGGACGTAAAGCATAATCATGCCTCTTAGAAAATGAACTATTGTCTCAGGGATATAATTGCGCCTGGCATAATCTAAGTTAAAATATTTCATTACTCAGAAATAAAAAACAAAATCTGATGTGAACACCACGTGGCTTCCTTGTACGGTTTATTAAATTATACACAATTTTGGAAAAATATTTCATTAGAAATAAATTTCTCATTAAATTAATTCCGTTCTCTCTGCGCAGCAAGACAAAAATGCATAAAACTCAAAACATTTTTATTAAAAATTTTAAAATATAGAAAAACATAAATACAACTGAAAACATTTAAAAAAAACTGTAGAGTTTCAAATGCAAACAAATCGCGGCGTCGTTAGACTTAGCAGCACTTAAAAAACTTTTAATTCTACAACTATTGCATTCAGATTAAAGGCATAATAAACTTAACCGGAACATAAGAACAACATAATTCAATCTTTTTTAAAGCAAAAATGCACCATTTACCAATATGTAAGAATTTAAAAAAAAAAAAAAAAAAAAAAAAAAAAACTGTGCTCACCGTGCCGGGTAACAGATTGAGTATCTACATTTATATACTTTTAGCGCGGCCTACTGTAACCGAAAAAGGCATGCACAAATACATGTTATAGCAGCCCCCCATGTATAAAATTGCAGTGTTCTGAGGCTACTGGGTTTTGAGCTATGCGAGATACCTATATACGTACATACAGACGTCACGAAAAGAACCTTTTTTGAATCCATTTTAAATCTATTTTACAATTCGTTTTGGGAAAAAGACTCCTTTTTTCTGCCTACACGTACGTATGTCACGCAAAAACATCGTTCAGATGGATTCGAAAGCGGTTAAAATGGATATTTTCGTTGAAATATGATACCTGGAATTTTTCGCGAATAGAATACTTCCTACAAAAATTTCCACCTTAAAAATCTTGCTGATGAAATAAGAGGGAAACAAAAGAGTGTTTTACCTTATCAAACCATGTGTGAGTTATAGGCGGAGTACCCTTAGCAGAGCATGTGATTTGTAACAATGCTCCTTCTTCAGCAGCAACGGTTTCATAACCTTTATCGAAACTCGGTTTACCTGAAAGAATACATTTTAGATGACATTCTGCGTAATTATTACAAAAAAATAACATCTTTTAAAATACTTACATTTTGCTATTGATAACGCGTTATAACAAAAGGAGATCATTCAATTATGCAATAAAGAAATTAGTTATTTCTGTAAATACAAATTTAAAAATTCAGCTTATATTTTAAGTTCACCTACTGCGAACTTAGTTTACTTTAATAAAATAAGTCTTTCCTTTCCGATTAATAAGTAATGTTAAATTTTCAAAACAAAATTTAATACCCGAATTTATAATTTATTAAAATTATCTGCAAATGGTACATAAATTATTCTGAAAATGGTAATTTTGACTAAACGGAATCCATTAAAATAGATGAGAAAACGAAGCGTCTTGTTTTTAAAAGCGCATTTGTGAGGAGGACAGAAAATGAACAAAATAATCCATATTGTTTTGAAAGTCCCTGCTCAAAAGTCTTTTCATAGATTTCTACAATATTATCTAACCACAATTTTTCCTTTAAACCTTTTCCCTTAAACATGCTTGGCTCGCCTACGGACAATTATGCTTATCTGATTCTTGTTCTTGTATTCCGATCTTTCCTTGTTCTGCTTTCCATAAAATTGTATCGGTAAAAACTATTCTGCTATATTGCTTTTAATGCTGAAATGATCAATAGATGGCAGCACAGTTTCTGTAAATATGATTTAACAATAATAATTATCGTAGGCTCCCTTCAGATTTATTTCATGCGAAGATGCTTTCTTTTCGGAATTAATACTTGCCAGGCCCTAAATGAGATTTTCTACGGAACTGCTAAGAACAATCAAAATTATCCTCCTGCCAGTATACTAACAAAGGATCAAAGCATCAATTATCGTAATTATTATTATATTAAGATGATTTTATCTTATTGTAACCATATACTGATTAGCATTCAAAATAGGATTACACATTCAATTAAATTTATGCAATTTATATTTGTGTCTAAATAAACTACAACCTTGAAACGCAAAGGCGTAAACTAGCAAGCAAGCGAAAACTAATTTCCCAACCATATTGGTAAACTGCAATTCAAATTCTAGCTATCTAATGTATTGAATTGCACCTGATAAAGTCGGTAAGAATCATGACGTATAGGCAAAAATATTGACAAGAGGTAAGTTACTTTGAATAGTAAATCTCAGAACCTGATATACTTCATTCGAATATCCTCCTGGATTTCAAGGGCGAACGCAATAAGCTGTGATAAAAATATTCCGTGTGAATCAAGCCATTTGTGGTTCACACTGAAACACTTCTAAGGTAGAAATAGAAGCAGAGGTAGAGAAACAAACTTAACCCTTTGTTGCATACAAATAATCTAGAGAAGTTAAACGAAAATGCTTGTATTTTTTCTACTTAAAATAACCTTAGTAATAATTAAAAAAATAATTTTCTTCAAATTTCGTTTTAAATAATTGCTACAGTTTGTTCACTACAGTGGGCAGCATGCATATACGAACACGCATACAGATCTCCTCCCAACGATTTACAGTCATTGCATTTGAAATCATTTCCTGCCTTGTTTGCAGTGATCATTACCATCTTCTAAAAGGTAAATCTACAACTGACATGTACATACAGATCCTCCAAAATACCTTCATTTCGTCAATTGTGATTGAATTCATTTTTGCTACGATTTTGTAACCTGTACCTATTGGATTCAAATGTCAAATGTTCTAGAAATTCCTTTCCAAACATAAACATTTCCCGTGGTGTTTTGGCTTGATGAGCAGTACATTTGCGTTTCAATTCACTCTTTTTGGTAGATCTTTATCTACCCACTCCCCAATTTTCTGAAACTGGCATTTAAAATAAAATGTCTAAAAATACTAATTATGAATAAAAAATGGCAAGTATAAGGAAATATAAGCAATATTATATAATGTTTACTATAAGAAATTGTACTAACTTGGAAACAGAAGTAGCAGCCATTTTCCAAATAGCAATGCTTTACTTAGTGGGTGCTATACAGCCATCTATGATAGACAGTTGAAAGTTTTTTAACAATATTGAATGAATAAGCACAGGAATGGAATCTGTTAGGGCATTTACAGAAGAATAAACAAATTTAAACTTTTGTCTACTAGAGTGGACATGATGCAACAAAGGGTTAACATTTGGCATTTATAATAATTTTTGAGTTTAATTTTTGAACAGTTAACTATTATGAGTGCCTTTCTAATTTAAGAATGAATCTCCAGAAATTCAAAATGCAAAGCATAAAAGAAAACGAGTTGTCGAAAACACAAAGACTCTTCGCAAATTTTTAGAGGATTTCCGTTATATTTACAGAAATATTTTGTATAAAGTGTTTGTGTTTTAAATGTTCTATTCGATAACCCTTATGCTTTCCCATCTTTTTACTCCGTGATTCCCCAAGGCAATAAAAACTTTTGTAGTATCGGAAGAGGTATTATTTATCCCATTTTTTTTGAAAATCTTTCCAAAGTGCAAGGAGGTTTGTTGGTCGACGTTTGATGTTCTCTTTTCAAACGGCCAAAGGGACAAACTTCCGTGGGGGATACATCAAAAGATTTAGTAAAGATATGAGTGAAACCTTAATAACTGTTTCTTTCTTCATTTCTTTCAGGAAATTAACTGTGGATTTTGACATGTGGCTACTTGCTTTGTCTTGATATTGTTCTATTGATTAATGGTTCTGTGTGTGAGCAGTACGTATCTCATAATTGAAAACTGGGTACAAAATATTTCCTGAAATATTAAAATAAAAAAATGGGTAATTAAATAAAAATTGGGTAAATTGGGTACAAAATATTTCGTGAAATATTTTGTTACCAATTTACCTAATTTTTGTACCAATTTTCTGAAATATATTGTTGATCTTAGCATATTCCTATGCAATTTTTATTTTTAATTTGCCGTTATACGAAAAACCAGAAACAATCATAAATACCTTTGAAAAACATTCTTTAGATTATATTTTTTAAATTTTAAAGATCTTTACATTGTATTTTTAAGATTTTAACTGTATTTTTAAGTTTATTATCTTCCCTTTGATGATAATGGATGAATTTCTTTTTATTGAAGTCATTTAAATACACCCAAGATCCGTCTATTGTGACAACATTTTCCCATTTTTTCGGACATATATTTCACATAATGAATTCTGCAGTGCATTCTGGATTCGACGCTGTCGTGGAGAAAGACGATGCACATTATTTATGTTTTTTCGCCTTTTTTAAGATTCAAATCAGCATTAACCATTTTGTTTATAGTTGACACTGAGAAGTTAAAGAATTCTGCAACTGTCCTTTGGCTTGGCGTATTTTCTTTTAGTATTGAAAATCTTACCTCTGCAACATTTGAAACATTCTTTTTTCCCCTTGGATACATATTTGGAATAATTTCTCCACATGTAGCAAACTTTGACGGTTTTTTCCTTTCTTATTGATGATATTACCTATCATAACTTTAGATATTAAATCCTATGGCTTTCAAAGTGTTTTTTTTAATAACTAGGTACGAATAATGTTTTTTCAAAAGGGCACAAAGGTAGCCTTCCTTAAAGACCTTAAAGACAAATTCTGAATTTACATACAATTATCTATTTTTCTAAGGAATTTTATCTAGTTTAAATATTTATTGTAATGAGCAATTTTTAATATTTAGTTTTTAATATTCTTTCCATTTCTTCTTTGAAAGCGTCGTTTTTCATGACAAAAAACTGTCAAGTAGCAGATGATTATTTATACCTTCAAAAATTAAACAGTTAAAAAAAAAATCCAAGCAGACGAGATTTACCGTCTGAAAAGTGTGCGAACAATCTCTGTAACAGTTCCAAACGATTTAAAAAATTTGTTGTGATAATATTCTGTCATTTAACGCCCCGTGTAATCTTTTGAGCATATTTAATAATGAAATGACTTAAGTATTTAAGATGTACACTCTTTCACTTGAGGCTTGCCTTTCTTTCAAGTAGAGTGGGAATATTTTCTATTTTAACATGAATTAAAATACGCATTGTGTACACAATAGTCTCTGTTGCCAAATGTTAATTATCATTTGTTTTGCACTATGAAAACAGAGGTTATCATTTTATAAATGGATTTATTTCTTGTACAGGGATTATTTTACTACAAAGCGAAACAAATAAAAATCTTTAAAGACAAATTCTGAATTTACATACAATTATCTATTTTTCTAAGGAATTTTATCTAATTTAAATATTTATTGTAATGAGCAACAGGTTTTTAATATTCTTTTCATAAGATATTTTCTCTCTCCTTCCAGCATGCCTTCGTGGTGTAAATGGTAGCAAACTCGGTGGGTATTCGGGAGGTTCATGTTCGAGTCTGGCGAGGACACTGCACATTTTTTTCACTTCCCATGATTCAAAATAACCTAATGACTCTACAGAATGCACCCGAATTAAAAAGGTGGTGGACAATAATTCGTCAACATTAGGATTGGTGATAGGTTCCCCTAATCCCCAGTCGGCCTGTAAAAGACGGAGTATATAAGGTATTTTCTCCTTCCTTTCGGCATGTCCCTCCTTCCTTCGTAGAGGTTTCTGTAGAAAGGATTTCCTTATTGGGTACAGAAAGATTTTTTTTTTCAAAAATTTAATTTAATTTTTTAATAATTTCTGTAGCGCAAAACCTCCAGCCGATATAATAGTCATTGCGTTTTTCAAGACAAAATGCATTAATTTATGTGCTAAAACCTGCGGGTATTCGAGGATAAATCTTTTAACTCAGATCATTCTTCTGTGCCTACTAAAAGAAAATTGATATTATTCAATCAAAATTAGCCAATATCTACATAATTACATTCATTTGACGATTAACAGCTTTATTTTGAGTGATATATAATATCAGTATTCAACACTTCAACACATAGTTGGGTTTCTTAAAATATTAATGTGTATATACACTCATGTCCATAAATTAAGGATAATTCGGAATCACGCAGAAATCGAACTCTAAAATAAATATATCACCTGTAAAATCACTACACACATCTTCAAGAATCATATGCAAATTTCAGGACGTAACCAGATGATACCGATGGTACGTCATAATGACGAGAGTGTAAGAGAGTGATATATAAGGAATACAGGCAAAGAAGTAAAATTGTTCGCAGGCGCTTTATAGGCATTTCAGTTCAATAACCGAATAGTTATGACACAAAGGACGCATTTGGATGATTTTTCACATGGTAGAATTATCGGCCGTCGGGAATGTGGGCGTACCCAACTGGAAGTATCAGACGAACTTGGAATTGCCCAGAGTGTCATCTCCAGACTTTTGCAACGATTCCAAGATGATGGTAATGTGAATAGCCGTTACAGCACAGGTCGCCCAAGAGTTACAACGCCGAATGAGGACCGGTACTTGGTAGTTACTGCCAAAAGAAACAGACGGAGCACAGCCTCAGACCTGTCTCGCCAGCTCTCTTCAGCCACTGGTACGACAATTTCAAGGCAGACCGTGTACAGACGCTTGGGGCAGATTGGTCTAATATGCTCGTAGACCTGTCAGATGCGTTCCACTTACTGCAACTCACTGTCGCCTGCGGTTAGCCTGGAGTAGAGAGCATGCATTGTGGACTCCGCAACAGTGGGCATGCGTGATGTTTTCCGACGAGTCCAGGTTTAGCTTGCAGTCTGATTCTCGCCGGACTTTCATATGGAGAACTCCAGGTACCCGTTACCACCAAGAAAACATCATTGAACGACACCGTTACGGTGGTGCAGGAGTGCTCGTTTGGGGTGGAATTATTCTGGGTTCCAGAACTGACCTGCATGTTCAAATTGGAACCATGACAAGCCAAATCTATCGGGACGTCATTCTGGAACAACATGTACGTTTGTTTCGGGGCGCCATGTGCGCACAATTTGTGTTTGTGGATGACAACGCCCGTCCTCACCGTGCAATTTGTGTTTATGGATGACAAAGCCCGTCCTCACCGTGGAAACATCGTAAGCGAATGCCTTCAATCGGAGGATATCACTTGTAATGACTGGCCATTTTCACCGTACTTGAATTCAGTAGGGCACGTGTGGGACATACTTGGCCGACGAGTTGCAGCCCGTCAACC